AGAGGGATTGCATCAAATCTGTATATTGCTTTGGGCAGGATGGCCATTTTGACGATATTAATTCTTCCTAGCCATGAGCATGGGATGAGTTTCCATTTATTAGTGTCCCCTTTAATTTCTCTTAAGAGTGACTTTTAGTTTTCAGAGTATAAGTCTTTCACTTCTTTGGTTAGGTTTATTCCTAGGTATTTTATTCTTTTTGATGCAATGGTGAATGGAATTTTTTCCTGATTTCTCTTTCTATTGATTCATTGTTAGTGTATAGGAAAGCTACAGATTTCTGTGTGTTAATTTTGTATCCTGCAACTTTCAGGGGCTCTTTGAATATACCAAATGTCATGCCCATCACAGTAAAGTCTGGGAGCTGGGCCCTGAGGCCCCCAGCCCCATGCACCAACTTTCAGGCTGTTCATCTGGAGACTGGGAATTGCCAGTGTTCATACACCCACCCTGGGGGCTTCCACCCTCCCTGTCCCTGTCCTTCCTCCTGAGAGTCCAAGAAAACAAGCAGTCCCAGCATCCTGGTTTCTGGCTCCACAGAGGGAGTTGTGGGACCCAGATGCCCTTCCCCAGGGCAGGCTGAGAAATATGCCTCCCTCTCCTTGTCTCAGGACCATCGACCTCTTTGCCACCTCCCGTGCCCCGCCTTCCAGATGGGATGGTAAAGAGGAAGAAGAGGCACATGGTCCCAAGTGGGGACTGCTATCATGAGAGAAGAGAAGGAAGGGCACAGAGGACACGTTGTTTGCCCATCCAGCGTGCACTCCCACCTTCTCATGACAGCATCTCAAATTCCCTGATGCCCACCGCTCTCTTTCAGCTGGGGTTCCTAAGCTGGGAGGATGGATAGAAAGCTGCCTAGCCACATGTCAAGGGCTTGCCTAGGAGCCAAGACAACACAGAGGAAAGCAGATGGAGAGGAAAACGATGGAGAAGTGGCTCCTAGTGGTGCCGTTGGAGCACAGATCCAGATGTGCCTGGTGGTGAGCTTTTCCGGCATACAAGCTCCCCAATATTCCTCTGTTGATAAGGTAAGGTTGAGCTGGGGTTCTGATCCCTGCAACCAACAAGGTCCTAATACTTCCAGACCCCTTGCGTCCACCTGACACATATTCACCTCCTTTTTCATCAGTTTGAGCTGCTCCTGGAACTTGGTGTAGTCCCGATCCTGCTCCAGACGGATCCGCTTGGCCTCCTCCCGGCGGCGCACAGCATGGTCTTGCTCCATCTTCTCCACTTGCTGCTTCTGCTGACGCTCCAGGTTCTCCAGCTCTGTATCAAAGAACTTCTTCTTGGCCTAGAAGCAGCAGGAAGAGAAATTCAGCAAAGTCACCTTAACCTGGGAGGGAGATGGGGAGTCAGCTGGGGACTTTTCCACAGACCTGGCCTTGAATCTCAGCTCTACCACCTCTTTGATGTGTGACCTAGAACATGTCACTTAACCTCTCTGAGTCTCTTTTTCCTCATGCACAAAAGGATACCAGGCCATCTACCCTGCAAGGTTCCTGCACAGTACTCAACTAAGGTCACTTTCCCTCTAGAGACCTTCCTTTGTGACTCAGAAGCACTGTGACCTTCATGCAATTCTGTGTTTGCAAGTCAACGCCTGATGAGATCAGGAAACCAGTGGAACTGGGCCACTGTGAACACTCTCCAGGGCCCGGTCACCCCCACTCTGCAGCTTTCACTTAAATAAGAAAATGTTGGCAAGAAGCCCTTATAGGGTCCCCTCTTTTCTCATACTCACGTTGATTTCTTGTTCAAAACGTTTATGCATCTGCTCCAGCTGCAGTTCATGCTTGCTGCTCAGCTGGGTCTGGTTCCGGTGCTCTTCTTTTTGGAGCAGCCGAAGCTCTCGGAGTTCCTGGCGCCTGAAGGGTTAAAAGATGTGGACATTTCAGTAGATGGCCTCAAAGATCACATAAGTCATAGATAGGGACATTGACGGCTGGGTAAGTCCATTAAAAATCGATATGTATCATTTATATATTCAGAAAAGAAAAAAATGAAATGATGCAGAAAGATGTGAGCCTCCTGACTATGAATTGGATCCCTGGCAGCTCCTCAGGACTGAGGCCCTGTGTGCTATGCTAGACCAGAGCCCAGATCCCTGCCGAGAGTGGCACAAGGATGGGCCAGCATGCTCTGGGGTCAGGGGGACCTTGCCTGAATCTTAGCTCAGCTGACTTTCCAGCTGAGCGCCATCAGGCAGTTGCTCAATCTTTGCAGGCCTCTGCTCTTCCATCTGTAAAACGGGGCAAATGATCTCTGCCTCCCAGGTTTTTTGAAAGTTAAATAAGATGACACATGACACCTATTGTGCCTCACCGGCACACAGAAGTGGTAACTGCTCCAAGGATGATGAGGAAGAAGAGGCAAAGGCAGCCCAATCGCTAGGAAAAGCCAGACACACAGTCTACAACTGCATAAGGAAGCTGCCGTCTGAGCCCTTGCTCTTTGGGAAATGAGAAGGTAAGAGGTGATTTTCGAGTGTTAACAAAGAAATGGGAATCCTGACTCAAGAGAAACTAAGGCTTAGAAAACTGACCCAAAAAAATCAAACAAAGGAATACAGAAAGAAGGTAGGCAGCCAGGTTCTAACATACCTCCGTGACCCACCCGAGTTCTCTCAAGGGCAAGCCAGCAAAGACAGGCTGATGTCTTAAAAAGAAAGGACCTAGCACCAGCAATTTTAGGGAAAAAGAGAACCCTGACTTCATCTGGGAGACTGAGTATTTGGGCACATGGTTCAAAAGCCAACGTGTGACCCAATCCTCCAGAAATGCCAGGATCCAGGTCATGATGCAGGGGCATGAGCCACCTGGGTACTGATGAGAGCTTTCCACGCCCCTGCAGCCTGGTGGCCTGGCTGGGCTGCAGGATGCTCAGACTTCTGGACCACGGCAGGCAACGATGAAAAGCCTTGTCCTCCATGAGTCCCTCATCTCCATCTCGGCTGAGTCTCACCTTTTAAACCTGAGCAGCACATGGCTCCTCTGCTTAGGAAAGGGGCGGTGGCCCAGGGCCGGGGGCATCACTTCCTGATGGGGTGTAGTGGATCTGGAATTTCAACCCCAGGAACCTGAACTGCCCAGATGGGAGTTGAGGGTAAGGAAATGCAACTCATGAGATCTGAAGCTTGGAGAGTACAGGTCACCTCCCACGTGGCCATTAAAACAGAAGATGGTGTCATCAGTCAAGAGCAACCACTCCCCACCCCCAACTCTGAGCCTTCCGAAGACAGATGACACCAGCGTGCGTGTGTATGTGTGTGGGTGTGGGGGGGCACACGTGCATGCACATAGGAACACCACTAATGAAAAGTCTGCCTCTCCTCCCTCTGGTCCCTAGAGAGCACACGTGCCCCAGAGCATCCAAAACAGCTTCTGTTTGACTTAGGGATGTTTGTGCTTTTTAAAAATTTGAATGTGCTTGATATTCCAGAAATGATCTCCAAGCCAATAATGAATTTACCCTGTAAAGGCCTGGCCCCAAAGCAGCTCCGTAAGTCCAAGGCCTCCCCAAATACTAAGCCCCCCATGCCACCGCCAGCAACCCCCCCCCCAACCAGGAAGCCTCCCAGTCCAATGGACACCTGGAAAACTTTTCACACAGACAGATCTAGTTAAAATGCCAGCTCTAGCCCTTCTCACCTGGGTGACCCCGGGCAAGTAACTGACCTACCAAGAAACACCGTTTCCTCATTTACCAAATGGTGGGACCAGGTCTCCCCAGGAGGGCTAAGGGGCCTGAGCGCCCTCAGTGTGGGAGGGTGGTTCCAGCAGACAGATCTGCCTCGTGCCCTCCTCCCCACACCAATCTCTCACTAGTTCACTGATTTTGCCTCCAACATCTATGTTCAATCGACCCCTTCTCCCCTCACACCACCCAAGGCCACAACCCAACTGTCCTGGACAAGGTCTCCCAGCCTCCCTGCAGCAGTCTCGCCCCTCTACAAAACCCGACTCACACGGCAGCAGAGCCATATTTCAAAAGGGACATCAGAGCCGATCACTCTCCAACAGATTGACTCTAGCTGTACCTGGGATAAAGTCCGCTCTTCCTCAGCCCTTAGGCCTAGGTGACCTGGACCCTGTGGACCCCAATGGCTGCACGCCTCTAAGCTTACACTCCACGCTCCAGCCCTGTCCTCTCAGTCCCTAAACAAGTGAAGTGGTCACTGTTCAGGCCAACTGACAGTTCCCTCAGTGCTCTGGACGGATGGGCCAGTGGGCTGAGGAGCACAGGATCTCAAGAAAACCAGTTTCCTTTTGTGTCCTCGATCCCTTCGTGCTGTGGACAGATGGCTTTCTCACCATACCCTACCTGTCACCGCCATCAGTGGCCCTGCCCAAGCTTGCCTGAGAAATCGCATCTCCTCATCCTTCTTCTCATCTTCGCTGATGATCTTGGAGGTTGTGATGCTCACCTCGACGCCATCCACCACAAACTTGCGTGTCCTCTTGAGGGTTTTATTGTGCAGCCTTGAGTCCTGGTGGGGGGAAATCATTACGCAAAGCTCAGCATTGCAGGTGGCTCCTGACAGTAAGTCTCTGGACCCGCAGTGTGCTCTGACCCCCATCTCCTGCTCAGCAGAGACTCCCAGAGACCCTGAGTTCCCTGGAGGCTCCACCCCTCTCCCCTACACACTCCCACCTCTTCCCATAGCACTTCACCCAGAGGCTTTGGACACCATTGCACTGATGGTCACACCTGATTCTCGTCTTCCTATAGTGTCCAGCTCCTGTGTCCCAGGACTCAATTAAAGAAGGGTCAGACTAGCAGTGAAGAATGGAGGCTGGCAGGAGAGTGATGGGGAAGACAGGAGGTCAGGACTGCAGCCCTCACACTGGAACTGCTGTGCGTCCTGGGGCCTCTTGCCTGAGGTTAACGGGCTCTTTGTCATGTCACCACGCACTGACTAGCCCACAGACTCTTGTCAAAACAGCCCTGTTACAGGCACATGAAAAGATGCTCCACATCCCTAATCATCAGAGAAATGCAAATTAAAACCACAATAAGATATCACCTCACACCAGTAAGGATGGCCAACATCCAAAAGACAAACAACAGCAAATGATGGCGAGGATGTGGAGAAAAGGGAACCCTCCTACACTGTTGGTGGGAATGAAAATTGATGCAGCAACTGTGGAAAGCAGTATGGAGGTTCCTCGAAAAAAAATTTTAAATACAAATACCGTATGACCCAGTAATTCCACTTCTAGAAATTTACCTCAAGAAAATAGATTTCCTGATTTGAAAAGATACATACATCCCTATGTTTACTGCTGCATTATTTACAATAGCCAAGATATAGAAGCAACCAAAAAGTCCATCAGTAGATGAGTGATGAGTGGATAAGGAAGATGCGATACATATATACAATGGAATATTATTCAGCCACAAAAAGGAAAGAAATCCTGCCACTTGCAACAATGTGGATGGACCTAAAGTATATTATGCTGAGTGAAATAAGCCAGGTGGAGAAAGATGAACACTGTATTTCACTTATTTGTGGAATCTAAAAACAAAACAAAACAAAATGAACAAAACAGCAGTAGACTCACAGACACTGAGAAGTAACTGGTGTTTATCATGGGGGGAGAGGATGGTGTGGGTGGGTAGGGAAGGTGAGGGGGATAAAGGGGCACAAAATTTTCCATCATAATATAAGTTGGTTACAGGAATGATATTACAGCATGGGGAAAATAGCCAATGATTCTAAAACATCTTTTATGTTGATAGATAGTAACTGCACTAGTGTGGGTATTTAATAATGTGGGTAACTGGTGAACCACTGTGTTATACACTTGAAACTTCAATAAAATATTTAAAAATAAATTAATTTTTAATTTTTACTCCTAGTGTTTTTAAGAAGAGAAGGGCAAGACACCTGTCCTAAGGAAGGTGATGGGCCCCGATTCTGCTGACACATAAGAGCTGCTGTCTACACTCATCCTGGTGCACTTTCTTTCTGTTCCCATAGCTAACTGTTGGGCTAAGTGGCTACATTTTCTTCTTTCACTCTTTTTAATTTAGCAGTCATTTTTGAGTCTCTGCTTGGTAGTTTTCACCAAAACAAATGATGGAAATAAACAAAAAGCTGAAGTACCTTCCCTAAAATCAGCCTTGGTTGGGAATGAGGCCCCCACCTGTGGCCTAGTCAGCTAACCAACGGTGAGTTCAAGGACACCATGCAGTTTACAGGAGAGGGCGGTGGGGTGGGGGTGAGCCTGTCCTGAGGAGGAGGAGACCACAGTTCCCACAGGGGAGGCAGAACGGCATGTGGGGTTCAGAACACGGAGCCTGGGGCCTGAGGAGCTCCCCCTTGCTAAGCCTGTTTGCTCATCTGTATGCTGGGATGACAGAGACGCCTCTCTGTTGTTTCTTAGAGCACTCTGCAAGGCTGGCCTCCCGCGGAGCCCGTGAGACAGGGGCTGTTGTCATTCCCAATGTCACTGAGCTAGGACACAGCCTTGGCTGTCTCCCCTTCCCTCCTGCCTTTCACTGAATCCTCCAGTCAGCAGCTGGCCCACATGGCTGAGCCCCAAAGAAGAGGACTTCCACTTCTAGAATTCTTTCTCCCAGATTTCACCACAGCCTTTAACCAAACCCAATTTAAATGGAAACCCAAACTGAAATTTAAACCCAAACCAAGTACCTGACATGACTAATTCCAAGATTGAACTCAGAAATTTTAGAAGTTAAACTATGAATCAAACTAAAAGCTCTTTAAAGAAAGAGCAATCATCCTGAACCACTTAAAACAGAAAGCAGCCACGGATGCTTTCAGCAGCCAAGCTGGACGACAGCACATCTGGAGCCGTCCTGCTGCAAACCTGCAGTACAAGTAGTGGCCTTACCTTGATGGACAGAGAGCCCGTCTCCCTGTTCAAGGACAGGTCAGCTGAGAGGGAGGTGCTGTAGACCATGCTCTCAGAGGTAGACAGGCTGCCACAGTCCGAGTCCCTCCTGGAAGGGCCTGGAGCTGCTTGGGTGCGGAGTTCGAGGCTGCCATTGGCCAGCTTCTCACCACCCAAGGTCTCCAGGGCACTGCTGTTGGGTCGGCTCTGGCTTGCTTTTTGAGACTGGTTGGCTGCTGGACTGAGGTCCTCACCCTGGTTAGTGACTTGCATCTCTTCAGATACCTGAATTCTGGCATCCATTGACACTGGCCGGGACTTCCGGAGAGCTACTGGCACTGCTACGCCATTCTCTTTTCCAGGGGCTGCTTCTGGGGGGCTGATGACTTGGAGAGATCTGTCCCCAGAGGGCTGGCTGGGCCCATTCACACTTTCCTCAGGCTGGCTTGGTGGCAGAGGGGTGAAAGATGATTCTTTGAGAAGCTTGTCAGCATTGAGGCTCACATCAGAAGAATCTTGAGTATGGTTCCCCAGAGGCTAGGACAAAAAAAGATAGTGAAGGCCATCCATCCTACAGTATGTCCAAGGTAAGAGTCAGAGACATGGTAGGGATGGAAAGTCACCCGCAATATGAAGTGGACCAGGACAGTATAGTAGGTATCCCTTTCCAGTAAGCCATAGTCCTCACCCCTCCCCACTGCCTAACCCATAATACAATTACTACAGTTGATCTTTGAACAACACAGGTTTAAACTGCACAGGTCTGCCTATATGCAAACTTTTTTCAGTAAATATGTTGGAAAGTGTTTTGGAGATCTGTGACAATTTGAAAAAACTTCCTTGTTTTTAGCTTACATTATTTTATGAATACATTAAATATATGTTAATCGGCTGTTTATGTTAGTGGTAAGGCTTCTAGTCAATAGCAGTCTATTAGTAGTTAACTTCTGGAGGAGTCAAAAGTTATACACAGATTTTCAACTGTGTGGGGGGGATCAGTGCCCCTAACCTCCAACTGTCTCAAGGGTCAAATGTACTTGTTTTAAGGAGTAAGAGTCTCTTGATAGTCTCTAATCTTAGCTTAATTTAATACCTGTTATTCCTCCTAGAAGTGGAGGCAACTGTGGTCAGATGGACAGCTAATGCCCCACCTGAAGAGGGCAGGGGCTACTCTGCTCAGCCAACTGTGACAGTGTGGAAAAATGGGTGCCTTGTCACCAGACCTACTTTTTCAAGACAAGCTGGATTTTTATTTGCCATCTCATAATTTTTAGATGACAACTAATTCAAGTTTTTAAAAAGTTTCAGAAAGGCCAAACCAAAGCTATCCAGGAGATTCAGCCTACCAGCCACTAAGTTCTTTAAGTTTTGTTTTGTTTTTGTTTTTTAGGGCTTTTGTGAGTGGGAAGTACTGGAAATGTTGCTACTGTGAAATATTAGCACCCATTCTGTGGATTAAATATGACGTCCAGCTTAAGGAATAAAGTAAGCACCCACACAGCCACTTCCCATGTCAGGAGTGGAACACTGCCCTGTCCTAGGGACCCGTCCTCTGACTGTCCACCCCTAGACTTATCATCATGCTGACTTTGATCTTTTAGTATTATAGGTTAGTTTGCCTATTTTTCCTTGATATTAATGTAATCACACTGTAAGCACTCTCTCAAGTGAGGACGGTTGCTGGTTCTTAACTCTGGAAATGGAATTCTAATCCACCTTTTATTCAAAAATTCAGATCTCATCCTGTCATCCCTACCCCTGCCTGGAATCCGCAATGCCCCCTGTGGACAAAGTGAAGGTTCCTGTGGCCAGAATTCTCACCTGGCCCTGGTAGGCTAGCTCACTACACACGTGTGGGCAATACGTTACTACTGACTCTATATATAAAGAACTCCTCCCAGTGCTCTGGGTGGCATGGCCACACGGCTACTGCCTGGTTGCTGCACGGCTGCAGGAGAGCAGAGACTGGAGGGGTGGCAGTGCCAAGGACAGAGACTGAGACGGCTGCAGGGGCAGAGAGGCCCAGAGATAGAGACCAGCTTGCTGCGTGCAGACTCGCTCTGAGTGGATGGGATTCTAGTGACTGACCTGCCACCGTGGGAATAAAGTTGGGGAAAAACCCTTTCACCCCAAGAAATGTTGTCATTTTTCTGTCTCACTGAATCCATAGTCAACTTGTCTCGGGCTGAAACCCACTGGCAAGACAGCCCCACTTTCTCAAAGACTGGCCTCCTGGGGAGAACCAGGCTACAGTGACTGTTTCCTGCTCCCTCCCCAACCTTGCCACCTACCCCCTCCTCCTGCAGCCATGCCCCAGACACACAACGGTGCCGCCTGTGGCTCAGCCAGCCATTTCACTCTCAGACCCTAGCTTTTCTCTCTGTAAACTGGAGCCCTGCTTCTCCTCTGTTGGAGGCGCAAAGCTCCCAGCACTCAACAGGGGCTCTGTAAACAGCTGCGGTCACTGTGCCGCTTCCACGAGTCCTCCTCATGCTTTGCTTCTTCCTGGTAAGGATTCACATGAGCTTCTGGCTTCTCCCAAGATTCAATTAAACTGGAAAAAGCACTGTATTTCCCATTCCCCAACAGGTAAGTCCAGCCCCCGCCTCCCTGGGTCCACAGCAGCATAGGGACAGAAACCTCCCTTCTGGATGGGGGCCTCCCCAGACGGCTAGACCAGGGATCTGAAAGCAGCAGCTCAGGACAGAATCCAGCCCACAGACATGCTTTGCTTGACTCAAAGGTTCTTAAAACTTTAAGTCAGCATCAACTTAAATTTAAATGCAGCCAAGAGCTGAAGCTGCCGATGGATCACTAATGCCAAGACACAGGTCCTCTGGGTGCCGGGGCAGCCAGACGGGGCCTGGGGTGGCCCAAGCTCCTCGGCCTGTCCTCCAATCATGAGCAGCCTTTTATCTGCATTTATCCCACCGTGTGCAAAAACACATTCTAATTTTCTTTGTGAGCCACAACAGAAAAAAGGCTGGGAAACTATGAGTCAGCTACCAACTTTTAAAAATTGGAAGATCCCATGTGAAAATCTAGATTCTTGGTCTTTCCTAAAAACTCACAAGGTCTGGCCAACAGCCAACAGCCCTTTAGCTCCACCCTGGCCCATCTGCCGTCTTGTGTAACCTGTGGCACGAGCCTATGACCTCTAAGCTGGGGAGAAACAGAAAAGAATCCTTCCCACACGTCCCCGGGGCCCCTCCCCCGCCAGCCAAGGCCTGCTGGGATCCCACCCCTGCCCCCTTGTCCCAGGCCTTACAGAGGCAGGGTCCACGGAGTCCTCCTCCTCGCCCTCCTCCCGGCCATCTTCGATCTCCTCCATCACTTCAGCCTTGGCCTCAGCCACCAACTCCCGCAAAGCCTTGTTACTGGTGACGCTGCTGACGAAGGGGTGCTGAGGGGACACAGGATTAGATTAGAGATTAGATCAGAGCCCTAGATTAGAACCACTTTGGGCTGGAGGTGCAAGAGGGGCAGGCAAAGATGGGGGGAATGCGATCCCCCAGACAGAGGAGGCCAGCAGCTTCCCTGAGTGTGAGATGATCGTGAACTCGGTAAGACGCCCAGACACAACTCAGAAAGTCTGTGTGATGGATGGAAAGAGGGCAAATCCTGGCTCTGCTGCTCACCAGCTGTGTGACACTGAACATGTCACTCTACCTCTCTGCGCTGCAGCCTCCTTAGTTCTTCTGTGGCGACAATGCCAGACCCACAAGAAGGTCATGAGGATTAAATGAGACAATGCGCACGGAAATGCTTGGCCTAAAGCAGGAGCTAAAGCAATGTTTGTCTTTGTTTTAAAGGTTTTAATATAGGGTTTTTAAATGTATACTATACGTATGTTAGAGGCTCTAACAAAGCCTAACTCACTCCACTTTTAAACAAGCTAAGAAGTTTCCTCCATGCTGCCCTCTAACCAGACCTTTCTGAGTTCCAGGAATTTTGCCTGTAGCCCCTGGAAACTACAGATAAGGACATTCCATTGCCGAGGCATTTTTGAACCATCTACAAGACCACGGATCACTAACGCCCAGCCCCTTACCTTCTGAAACTGCCTTTATAAGCCTTATGCACAGCCCCCTTCAAAAAGCACTACATTCCTCTTTCTCGTCAGCTCCCTTGTATGCAGGCTGTCTCTAATCAACTCCACCAGCTCTCTTCCTTTCAAGTTCAGTGTTCATTTCTGCAACACTGAAACTCATGAACCTGGTCTTCAGGGGTGCGTCAACACATATATACCCTCAATTTTATTGAGGTATTAACATATCACAGTGAAGTTCAGAAATCACGAAGAGTAGTAACTTTTGCCCTAATAACACACACACAGTTTAACTAGACCCAGCTCAAGACAGAGAATGTCTCCAACGCCTCAGAAACCCCTCCCTGAACACCTCCGCGGCAGCCCCACCCCCAGAGCTTCCTGGCTGCAGACTAGAGGGCCTGCTCTTCAAGTTCATATGAGCAGAATCACAGTGTATAGTCCCTTGTGGCTGGCTTGCTTTACTCAACATGAGTTGAGCCAAAACTATGATGCATCTACACTGTTGCATATGTTGATGAAAGGTTCCTTCTTTATTCCTGTGCAGTATTTCACTGTGAATATATCACAGTCTGTTTATTCATTTTGCTGCTGATGCACAACCGTGTTTTTGGCATCTATGAACAAAGCGGCCATGAACATGGTTGTATATGCCTTTGAGCCGGCACGTGTGCTTACAAAATCTTGAGGCAGAAAGGTGTATGTTCTATTCCTAGGCATTTACAGAAATCTCACATCTTTTAAAAAATGAAGGTTCTTTCAGGGACCTTGCAAAACACCAAAGTTTTAAAGGCCTAACAGATGTGAAATCAGCAGGAGCATCTGCCTGGTGGAAGTCTGTCCTCAGGTCTCTCAGCCCCAGCACAGGGTGTGGAGAGGATTCCCCACTTCACCACACTCACCCAGGGTGCTGACAAAGGAACAGGGAGCGGGGTGGTCATTAAGTTGGAATTTGCTCATTTGAAATTTACAGGAAGGCTCTGATGACATTCACTTTTACTGTCAGAAAATTTATCGGCAGAGGAACAGTGTCACAAGATTGCAGGGAAGTATGTAAATGACTAAGAATAAATGTCCTAGCACCTGGAGAGCACATCCACAACTGGCAGGGGCACTGCAGATCGTTCTTCTCTGCTTGTTCCTTTAAAACATCTCATTTGTGGAAGGCCACAAACCAGCAGCCTGTTCAGTTTGGCCACCTTACTTTGAATACCTGCAAAGCAAAAAACCCCACTCCTTTCCAAGGGCCTTGCCATTCATATTTTCCTAAACCAGCCTGACTTTGTCTATTTAGTCCAAACTAGTAAAGATTTTAAGAATTTAATTTCTTTTCTTTCTTTCCCATGTCCCCATTCGTTCACTGATGAATACATTCCTGTCACAGCCCCCAGTCAAGGCCAGTGATGTGCCAGGTGCTAAAATCAGGCTAAACAAGACAAGAAAGCTCCCGGCCTCTGGGGGCTCGTGGCCAGTGGGAGAGACACTAGCTGTGTAGCCGAATGACAAGCAAGATCATTTCAGATCAGGTAATGGGATAGCATGAGGCTGGAACAATATGGGCCTGGCCTGGGTGGAGGAGACTAGGCCTATATGCAAATCATGTGATTCAGTCCCGGACTGAGCGTGGTGTCCTGGAGGAAAGGCTAGAAGGCCAGGTGGCAGAAACTTGGGGGACGGGGGAGGGGAGGGGCCACAAAGAACAGAGCAGTGCATGCAGGGCCCCTGAGCATGGTGAGAAGCCACGCAGGGCTGCTGTAGAGCAGTGACATTAACACTTATCCTTTAAAGGTGTCAGTCTGGCCACTGCGTGGTTTCTAAAGGTCTCAAGGGGGACCGTTAATGAGGGTTTGCTAATCATGGGACACTGGACAGCGTAGCAGCTAAGCCTGCTGGCTTAGACTCCAGCCATCCCTGTGCCCCCTGACATCCCCACTGAGCACAGCCTTTTGGGACTGAGGGTGAGAACCAGACCCAAAGTTCCTGAGTTTCACACTGCACAACCTCACACATGTGAGCTTGAGCGAGAAGCCATGGGACACTGCACGGCAACAGCTGAAGCACATGTGGCAGAAATAAATAACGCAGGCACAGGCCTCTGGAAATACCAGGTTTTCCTCAGCACACATCACATATTGACCAAATTAGTGCATTTTCAGCATGGCCGGGAGCTTTACTTTCTCAATGCTGAACCATCTGCCCCACTGCCTCCCTTGAGCACCTCAGGCCCCTCAGGGAGCAGAGGGGGAAGCTATGGGGAGACAGCGTTTGACCAAGGGCCAAGTAAGCAGAGCAGACCCCCTGGACGCCAAGGTCCTGGAATCCCCAGGTAGGAGGCGCTGGCCCTCCTGCAGCTGGTCAGGCCAAGAAGAGTTTTATAAACTGCTCTAGGACACAAAGCACAGACCACCTGCCCCAATGCCTCAGCCCTGCTATCTCCAGTGACGTACAGAAGAGACCAGAGAACAAAGCAGAGAACAGGAGTGCCCGGGGCTTCCCCAGGCAGACCGCGCTATGGGCCTGCATGGGACGGTGGGAATGGGCACACGGGTCCCTGGAGAGGTACTCGGCATGGCCAGATCTGAGGGGAAGTCACTGCTGCCTCTGTGTGCAGCCCCAACACGCTCACCAACTGTCATCTACCCTCTGGCCAGGACCTCTCCTGCCATCTACACAGACACCCTTTCCAAGAACTTGAGCGGAGTTTTCCTCTGCGTGCTTAGCAACCATGACCCGGTAAGGGGTCTACACTCTGAGACTGACTTTACAAAAGACCTATAATGCTCTCATGTGTTCAAGTGTCAGCCTCTTTCCCTCAACCCTACTGCCCTCCTTTCTAACCTTCTTCTGTCTCTCTTTCATTCCTTCTTTCCCTGCTTTGTTCACTAAGAGACACAGCTTACCGGAATGATCCAGAGAACAAGCGCTAGGGCCGGAGGGCCAGGATCAGCAGCCCAGCTCTGTCTCTTACAAGCTGTGTGACCTTGTACGGGCTCCCTAACCTCTCTGTGCCTGTTTTTATCATTTGTTCTATAGAAATCTGAACAATACCTGCTTCATAATTGTTGTTATAAGGACTAAATTAGTTAACATTTGCTCAACATTTAGAATAGTGCCTGGAATGGAGAAAGGGTTACATAGCAGTTTAAGTAAAAATAGGTAATATATTTAACAAATACTTATTGGGAGCCCTCTACATACCAGGCACTGTTCTGGATGCTTGGGAAACATTAGTGAGCAGAACAGAGACTGCCATCCTCAGGGAGATGACATGCTAGCTGGGGAGATAAACAATAAAAGCAATAAACAAGTTAGGTTGCATGCCACCATGCTTTGTGCCACAGAAAAAGCTAGAGTAAGGCAAGAAAGGAGAATTAGGAATGTGGAGTGTGGCAGATCTGTAGTTTAAAATAGTATGGGTGGAAACTGAGAAGCTTACATGTGAGCAATGACTTGAAAGAGATAATGAGTCAACCACAGAAGTTTCTGGGCAAGAGCATGCCAGCTGGCGTGGAGAGCCAGTGCAAAGGCCCTGAGGCACAAGGTGCCTGAAGTATGTGAAGAACTGCAAGGAGGTTGGGGAGGCTGGCAGAGTGAGGGGGCTCGAGGGAGAGAGGAAGTCTAAGGGGCCAAGTGGGCTGGGCAGACCACGCAGGACCTGGCAGGTCACTGAGACTCAGGACTTTACCCTGAGTGAGTTGGGAGCCACAAGGGGCTTTGGACCAGGAAGGGACAGGAGCTGACTTATATTTTAAAAGTTCCCTCTGGCTGCTATGCTGAGAAAAAGAGTGAGGGAGGAAGTGACGAGGCAATAATCCAAGAGATGAAGGTGGGGACGAGTGGTCGGGTCCGAGGCATGTTCTGAAGGCAGGGACAGCAGGACTTGCTGAGAGAAAGGATATGGAGTGTTTGAGAAAGAGAGGGATTGAGGATGCTTGCAAGGTTAGGGGCCTGGCCACTGGGAAGGGTCCCACCGACAGGGATGGGAAAACCCCGGTGGAGCATGTCTGGGCAAAGGCAAGGGCGTGGTCTGAGACAGTGGGGTATAAACAGCCGGACACACCTGCTGGCGTCAGGGCGGAATAGGTGGGCCGCAGGAGAAATGGAGCTGCTGCAAACTGGATGACACCATCAAGGTGAGGGGAGCAGAGACGGCCCTGGCGCACTTCCACGTTAGTTGGAAGAAAGAGGAGCAGGTGAAGGAGACTGAGAAGCAGTGACCAGGGAGGAAGAAGGAAACCAAGAGGGTGTGGAGTTCTGGAAGTCAAGTGCTGACAGGGAGGAGGATAAGGAGCAACAATGGCTGGAGCCGCTGGGGCTCGTGAGAGGAGCACTGAGGCCAATAAGGTGGAGTCACTGGTGACACGGGGGTGGGTTTACAACAAATTCAATGAATATATACCAAGCACTTGATGGGCAGCACCTGTTACGCTAAAGACAGTGCATACAGACTCTCATTCACTCACACCATTCTGTCAGGGGCACATTCTCCACATCTTGCAAATAAGGAAACTGAGGCACACAGTGAGAACTACTCAGATTCCAGGAGGGCAGGTCTGACTGCAGAGCCTGGCTTCCTGATGGCTGTGTCGTACAGTTCCCAGAGGTATCTGCGCAAGTAGATGAATCACACGCCACTGTGGTCAGCAGTCCATCAGCTCAGGGCAGAACAGGGGAAGATGAGGGGCCAGGAGGGGCCTCCTAGAAGCAGGCAGACACAAAGGCCCAGGTGTGGACACAAACAGCTCTGCAAGGGATGCCGGGAAGCCCAGATCTGGGCTTACCTCTGTCACTCAAAGCCAGGTGACCTCAGGCAAGCCACTTGCCCACCTCGGTGTCCTCACCTAAGGGGGTAATGCTGCTTCCTGCTCTCTCGCTGGGAGATGAAAAGGCTGGTGGAGAAAGCCCTGAGCCCGAGCCCTGAAAGGTGTTTTGTCTCAAGGGATCTCTCCCTTCTTCTGTCTTATGCTAAGAATCCTTTGGCAGGGCATTTTTCCCAACTATGGAATGGAAATTCCTGGCTCAGGCTGAGGCTTCAGGGCTGCCGTGTGGAGATGGAGGACAGCTGGACTCTTCCCAAGACAACGTCCCAGAGGTCAGATATATCAGGCCAGCAAGTACCTGCTTACAGGAAACAATTGGCCCCAGGTGGCTGGGTGCTTTCGCAGTGCTGGCAGGCCCACGCACCCCCACTGGCCCTCCTCCACATTGCCCCCCACCAAACACCCAATACCCAAAAAGTGAGTTCTCTGACAGCCCAGACCTCTGCTTTCAAATACACTATAGAAACCTGCCAGGGCCAGTCAGCACCCCTAGCAGCCAAACCCCGTTGTGCACCCTGGTTTCTTTCCACTTTTTAATAACTGAATTCAATGCAGCAAACATTCCTTGAACACAGTATTTAACAGTACACCAAGTACTTTACAGTATCTTCTCGCTTAACCCTCACAGCAACCCTGTAATTTAACAGCCCCATTTCACAGCGGGACCCCATCACAGGTTACACCACAGCCAGTAAGTGGCAAGGCTGGGACTGGAACACAGGACTTTGCAGCTCCAGTCCACACGCTCGATCGCTGTGCTGCACACCCCAGAGGGATGCACTGTACCCAGAATGCCAGCTGCGGCCCAGTGCCTGGCACACAGCACATCCTGGGGAATAGCAGTGGCCAGCACTGGGTAGGCCTCTTCCTCCTTGCCTCCCCCCACACACCAGAGACCCTCAGACAGGTGGAAGGACAGGAGTGGACAGGGTGTGGAGAACAGCCCTCCCCCTCCCCCAGGCCCACATCCTCTCCCTGTTCCATCAATGTTAATCATATGCACGGCAACTCGCAGACCTGAGGATAGCTGGGTGGGCCAGGTGAAGGGCATCTCACAGCTACTCCAATATTTCAAAACTTTTCAAGGAAACCATCATCCACTTTCCCATCCTAAAGCCTTAGGGACCCTGGCCAAGTGTAAGTCACATGGTGTCTCCCTAGTCCAAACCTTCAGGGGTGCTCCATGGCACACCCAGTAAAGCCAGATCCCAGTTTGGCTCCTGAGGCCCTGCACGCCCCTATGTGACCTGGCCCTGCATGCAGAGGACAGCGCAGCAGGCCTGCCTGGCCTCCTTTGAAAGGCCTGCTCCCACCACTGGCTGGTTTATTTTTCTGTGTAGCGCCAGTCTCCGCCTCCCACGTGCACACAGCTGCCATCTGCTGCTAGTCTCCCCACCGGAACGTAAATTCTGTGAGGACAGGGCTCCAGGGGGCCTCCTTCACTCCCGCCCTCCCAGCACAGGATCCATCATCTCGGAAGCTCCCAGGGAATGCTGGCTGATGAATGGATGGCCGTTCACAGTCACCTGAGCTAGATGAGGAATGCGTCCAGCTTCCAGGTCCCAGGCGACCTCCTCCGCCCTCTACCTCCAAGGGCAGGGCAGGGCAGGGCAGAGGGGGCTGGCAGTGCCCCAGGAGAGAGGAACCACTCACCTCCAGGAGCTGCGCGGCACTGGGCCGCGTCTCTGGGTTCTTATCCAGGGCTGTCTTCAGGAAGTCTCGGAACTCCACAGACCTGGGAGGACAGACAGGTGGACAGTAAGCTCGGAGTGCGGCAAATGCTGAGAAAGCTCCCCACGCCACAGACTCCACTCTCTCACGAGTTATGTGCTTCCCAAGCACATAGGGCAAAGGGTGCTTTATAGGACAAAGGGCGCTTTCAAGACCTAAAACGGCGGAGGCGACGGAGGCTGCTGCATGACCTTCCCATCAGGGACATCACTGTACCACCAGGGATGTGAAAATCAGAGGAGCAGGGACTTGCCGAGGCCACAAAGAGAAACAGAGCAGTGCCGAGGTTTAAGCCTGAGCCCCACCTCCCAGCCCAGGATGGCACGCTGTGGCTGCTGGGCCTCACTTGGCCCCTTATTCCCATGGTGGGACCTGCCTTACTGGGTGACCCGGTCTGCTTTGATGGAGAACATGGAGGGAAGCAAGAGGAGGGAGGGCCTAGAGGGGCTCAGGAAAGACTGGAGACCCCAAGATACTGACTACTCGCCCACTTTGGGGCCCAGCAGTGGCAGGAGAGCCCTCCAATCCCACCCGACCCACGACCCAGGCCTGCTGCCTGCAGACACCCTCCTGTGCCTTACCACTTAGAAGGCGTGAGCAGTGTCGGGGGGTCGGACTTGGCAATCTTGAGCAGGACCCGCATGGGGTTGAGCTCGTGGTGCGGTGGCTCAATCTGGGCCATCTCTATCAGAGTGATGCCCAGGGACCAGATGTCAGCTTTGTAGTCATACGGGGTGTCTTTCATGGTCTCACACATCACCACCTCGGGAGCCATCCTGAACCAACCAAGGGACAACAGAGGGCTAAGAACCTGGCCTCCAGAGGTGCTTCTTGGAGACTCAGGGTCAAGGACCACCACAGGCCAATGTCAGGGGGTTGCCAGCGCTCCTGATCATGATTTGCATTACTGTCCATCCCACTGTCTTCCTTATGATGGTCTTCACACAGAAAAGTAGGCCTTCAAAGGGGCTCCACGCCATGTCCTGCTGCAGTTCCCGAAGTCTACCACAAGATGGCAGCAACAATCCAGAACACAGTGTCCTGGGGGAGGGGTGAGGCAAAGGGGAAGGAACCCAGAAAAAACTGGGGTAGGGAAGGAGTGCAGAGAGAACACGACAGCACAGTGAGAAGGGACGGGAGAGAAAACGGGGAAGAGAAATAAAAGGGCAGAGAGAGAGAAAGAAAGGGTGAGTAATAAGCAAGTAAGAAAGGTGCCTAACACCACAACGGGAAGTAATGCACATGAAAAGCAGGAGTAGTTAGGTGTGAAACTGAGTGAGAAATTTCTTCATTTGTTTGTTTTTAAGTAATAGTTTTCGAAAAAGAAGAAAACACCACGGACTAGAGAAGCCCACAGAGACTTCACTGAGGGTATGAATTGAACCTGTGCTGCTCATCTTCATAGCCCCAGCCCAGTGCCAAGCACTCAGTATGTACTCTGCGTTCATCAAGAACTGGACCATTTTTTAGGGGTTCCAGTTTTGTTGTTATTGACACAGCATTTTCTACATTCATCAACCCATTTAATCCTCAAAATAACCCATTAAGTCAGTATTATATCCCTGATTTTACAGATGGAAACTAAGGCATAGGGGAGCTAAACAACTTGGCCAAGAGACTGGCCTCTGACCCAGCCAGCTGTCTCAGGAGTCCCTGCTTCTGTCCTCTCTCCTCTATACCAGCCAGAGGTCACCTTGGGGACTGTGAGGTTTAACATTCTGCCCACCATTCCACTTGCAGAAGCTACACGACTCACCAGTAAGGCGTCCCTATGAAGGAATCTCGTTTCTGCACAGTTTTCAGATTCTTGGCAGACACACCAAAGTCAGCTGGAAGACAAAAATCTCAGATAGAGTACTGGATGGACATTCCTCCACCCACAACCCTGGGGTGTGCACTCAGAGATACACATTCCCAAGCAACTAGCAGACGCCATTTTCTATCTAGCAAATTAGCGATCACTAAAAATATATCTACTGCTATGAGGATATAATACTGAGTACTATATTACTATATACTCAATACAAAGTACTGAGACACGTACTTTCCTACTGGCTAATGAGAGTATAAACTGAAAAGGCTTTTAGGAAAGTGTTTTGGCAATAATCACAAGAATCTTTAAAATATCCATACTCTTCTGATCCAGTAATTCCAAATCCAGGACTCTACCCCAATGAAGTAATCTTAAATATGTCTTAAAATTATGCATACGGGAGCTCATCAAAGTGCCATTGTAATAGTGACAAATTAAAAACAACTGTGGTTGCTTAGGGAGTGATTTTAATTAGCAATAACTACACTTCAGATAAACCTCATCAGCTACAATACTGCCACTGCACAAAGCTTAGGGAGTCATTTTAAAAGTTCTTATATACAATATAGAATATCTCCTGTGTTTTCCAAAAAGGACTTAAGATGGTATATCAAAGATACACACACACTCACAAAATCGGAGAGGTAAGAAAGATAAGAAGAAGTGCACACTGCTGAATAGAGTAAGAAAAGTGTGCTCACCCTCATAGGACGGAATATTTTGTAGTCATTAAAATTACTTTTGGAGTAGTTTTATTCAATGTTTTAATACTGAGTTATACATATTTATAGTTACCAATATTTAACATTTAGTGTGTATTTAAGTATTTTCATATTTAGCACAATACTAAATATTTTATTTGTAATACTTTGTTAAAATGGAAAGCCACAGGCCCAGGACCAAAGGGCGTTTCTGGGCCAGGCCATCAAACCAGGGCTTAAAGCCCAGCCTACCTGCAGTTTCAGTCTCTCCCAGGAGTGGCATTTTAAGCCAGCGCGGGATTTCCTTAGTGAGGTTATCTGCCTATGACCCCCAGTCATCCTGAGGGAGGGGAACCTCCTCTGCAACAATCCATAATCTTTTCTTTGGCAAATAGCTTCCTTGTCCCCTTCTCCTGTCTGTAAAAATCTTCCATTTGTACAGCTCCTGGGAGCATTTCTCTAGTTGCTAGGTGGGATGGTGCACCACTCATGAATGTTTAACAAAGCCAATTCGATCTTCAAATTTACTCAGTTGAGCTTTGTGGGGTTTTTTTTTTTCCAACTTAAAAGGTCAAGTGGGAAGGAGTGAATGCACAGTTGAATATATTGTATGGTCAAAATTACACTCTCCTCCCCCCAAAAAATAGCAAAAACATACATGGAACTGACTTGGAAGAAATAAACCAGCTTGCTTAAATGGTTGTGCGTGGTGAGACTAGGACAGGTTTCTGCTTTTCTAAATCCCATAAATTTGCTATGATAAACATGCGTGACATTCAGGATTAACAAAACAATAGCCAAAATTTCTCTTTAAACACACATCCAACACTACGAGGCTTCCTTCACACACCCACATCCAGGAGAAGAATCCAGTGCCACAAGGAGAAATCCAGCGCTCCCAGCTTCCAAGGCAAAGTTTCATCCCAATCAAAAATTAAATTCAGGAGGAAGCAATACCTTGACAGAACTGGCGATGCTTAGTTCACAGCAAGAAGAGCTGCAAAGCTGTAACTGCGGGCCACTGGGGAGCCCCAGCCTAGGTCTTGAAATAAACCTGCCTGAACCAGTCAGGTAACAACTGCTGTACTTGGAACTTCCATCAGGTTCATGACTTCAAACCAGGAGGGGGCACAATGCTAAGAGCAGGGGCCTGCTGGGACAGAGTGGTTCCAGCCATGGTTCATTCACCTGTTCTTCAGGTACCATCGGGGCCAGGTGCTAGCCAGGGGCACAGATACCATGGGGACCAAAAGCAAACTAAGTCGCCCTCAGGTACCCCAGAGTTTAATGGTAAAAGAGAAAGGCAGCCAGATAAACAGCACCAAGTGTCTGTTCCTAACTGTGAGGAATGGAAAGATGGGAGCAGAGAGCAAGTCCACAGTTGGCGGGGATGCAACCTCAAGAGAGCAGAAAGGGAAGGAGGGCCTGGAAGAAGTATAGCTAAGGGCCTCCAGGCTACTCATTCACTCAACAGGCATTACCTGAACATCGGCTCTATGCCAGGCACTGCTCTAGGCACAGAGATGAACCAAAATCTTCATCCTCCTGTGGCTTGTTATTCTAGTGATGGAAACAGGCCCTCAACACCTTCCTGTGATTCCTGGTGAGGGGGCCATGCAGGGATGAAGGAGGGCAAAGGCAGAGTGCTGGGCAGGCACCTACTTCAGACAGCAGGGCAAGACCTGGGAAGATGTTTCCAGGCAGAGGACACAAGCTGGATGAAGGGCCTGGGAGGGGCAGGGCAGAGCGGCCAAAGGGACCAGGCGTGGAAACAGGTAAGGTGGGCACAGGCAGGGGCCGGTACGATAACCAAACCTCTGGCCCTGGGTTTCGGAGTGATACAGGGGTGGTGATGCTACATGATTACTTTCTAGGGTTGTCATGAGGATTAAGAGACCCGCATAACTCAGCTCCAAGCCTGATGATTGGTAAGCACTCCCGTCAGTCATTTACGCCCTGGAGCCAGCAGCCTCACTCAAGATTTGAGGCTGAGGCTGTACTGAGATGGCCTCCTGGGCGTGGTCACGAAAGCTGCTCTCCGGCCGCTGATGCCAGCCCTTGGAGGGGCGGGGCTGTCACCGCACAAGGTGACACCTCACAGGGCGGGCCCAGCAGCTGCTGCAGGGTGAGGTGCAACATCCGGAGACCCAGGTGAGAACCCAGCTCTGCTGCTGGCTCCGGGCAGCCTGGGCGAGTCAGCACCCCCGGGCCCCCGGGTAAGAACGGGGGCCAGGCTCCCCTCCTTCCTGCTAGGCCTGCGAGCACGGGGCAGGATGCGGGGCCTGCCACCTCCCCTGCAAACACCAACAATGGCTCGCCTGACATCCCAGCAAATCTCTTGGCAACAGGTACGGCCTTCCAGAGCCAGCGTGAGGCTCGCACAAGGAGGCTGCAGCTGCCACTCCCCCACCACGCCCCTTCTGGGCCCGTCCTGAGAAGGGAGAGGAGAAGCAGAAGCCACCAACTTTCACAATGACACACAGCCGGTCCCCAGGACCCTCCCTAGGCAAGCGCCAGCCAGCTTTTTGGGTAGCTGCTACTTCCCCTTCTGCCCCACAAGATGCGGCCCAGCCAGGAGGGTGGGGCAGCTGCTCCCTGCAGCCCGAGGACCTCAGGCTTTCCCTGGGCTCCGCACGGTGGCCCCAGCTGTCTGCTCCCGGAATGGAGTTTATGAGGGATCTCCCAGCGGGGATGGCTGCCTTCGGGCAATTCGAAGGAGGCTTTCACCAGGTCGTCTCTTCTGCTGAAAACACTCCTCTTTCCTTTTCCCATTTTAAAACAAAAGTCAGAGACAAGGGCAGCAGTAGGTAGGGACTCTTCTCCATGAACTGTCATTTCCATGAGGAAAGAGATCATTTCTGCACAGATGCATTCTGTGCCCCTGGCACTGTATCTGGCACATGAAGCCCTCAACAGGGTCACAGTGATCAACTGAATAAGTGAATGAACAGACTTCACTAGATTGCCTTTATTCATTTATATTTAGAAGAAAAATAACCACACTGGGTTTTAGGAAATGTTTGAAAGCAGTCTGTTGCTAGAGCTTGGTTGGTGACTAGTGAGATAAACTATAGCCACTCCGGCCAGGAAATAACATGCAACCCTTAGAAAGAATGAGGCTGCATTTGTCTGTACTAACTTGGAAGTTTGTCCTTTAACAGGTTATCCTGGACATGTTGCTGACCCGACTGACCGATACAGAGGATGTATATCATGATTCCAGCTGTATTTTAAAAGAAACAGATGCACACTGTGTGCACATAAACACCCATGGACACAGAAAAGGGTTTGGAAGGTTGCACATCCAACTGAAGATGACCACCTCCCCAGATGTGGGATTTTGGTGGGAGGAATGCAACTAAAGGACTCACATTTTTACTTTATATGCTTTTACTCTTTAACATGTTTTTGATAAAGAGATTGCATCACTTTATGGTTTAAAAAACTGAAATGCATATGGCAAAATTTTTTTGGGTTTGTGCGCTTGGGCTTCTGTATTTTGTTTTTGAAGCAAAACCCAGTGGGGGCCAGGATGTGGTGAAAACTTCACACTCCACACAGGCTGGGGGTGGGGGTGGGGTAAACCGGTACAACCAGAAGGAAGAGAGCATCGGCTGCAGCTGTTGATGAAAACCTGAAACACTGCGCACACCCAACAACCCCACTTCTGAGGATTCCTCTTAAAGGTGTGATTACAGAAAGACACTCAAAGATCCACGAGCAAGCACACTTGCCCCTGTGTGTTAGCAAGTAATCGGAGAGATCCCATGAGAAACCTCAACTGCCAACTTTGAGGGTTTCCTAGGTAGATTAGTTTGTGCAAGTGACCAAATGCAAGAAAACATTAATCATCGTTCTGTGGAATATTTGAGGTTATGGGGAAAATGTGCTGATACTGTTCAATTTTTTTAAATAAAAGCAGACTGGAAAACTACATATCTAACAATCTCAACTTTAAAAAAAATTCAGGTTTATCTAATAAAAATCAGTACTTACTGAGAACTTAACAGGCATACAGCATTGTGCAGAGACTTATGCATATGATTTGTATCTTCTGCATATAATTTTGCATGTTATCTGCATATATATTCCTATGAATACCATTTACATGTATTGGTTTATCTAATAAAAATCAGTACTTACTGAGAACTTAACAGGCATACAGCATTGTGCAGAGACTTATGCATATGATTTGTATCTTCTGCATATAATTTTGCATGTTATCTGCATATATATTCCTATGAATACCATTTACATGTATGACCCTTTGGGGGAGGGGTCATTGATATATTATCCCCATAGAAATTATTATCCC